GAAAGACAACAATCAGGGGCCAAGAAGATGGCAGCAAGTCAAGCACTCACTGCACAAGCATGAGAAGCATAGTTCGGATCCGTAGCATCCATGTAACAATTCTAGGAATGGCTGCCTGTGTTTGGAACCCCAGTATGGGTAAGGGAGCAACAGAGACAGGCAAATCCTGGGAGCTCACTGGCCACCCAGACAAACCAAAACTGCCAGCTTGTGGTTCAAAGAAAGATGCTGTTTCAAGGCAATAAGGCAGAGAGTGATAAAGAAAGATACCAGATATCCTCCTATGGATTTCATATATATATACTTGAGTGTGCACACCTGTACACTCGGATGCAGCGTGCGTGTACACGCGCACACACACATACACAGAGAGAAACATAAATAGTAGAAGGAAAAAAGTACAAACTGGTGAATGTACATAGGCCAACAGCTATGTAAATTACAATAAGGAAATAAAGAAACATGAGCTAACAGTCCACCACAGCATCTCCACAAAGATCTTCAAACATGGGGGAAAAGAAGATGAGATAGCTGAAATGCCAGAAAACAATTTTACAGTCTTACATTTTGAAAGGATCAACAACCAATTAGAGGACATGAATAAAAATATGGAATTTAATTCAAGACACAGACAAAAACAATTACAAAGTCTATTCAAGAACCAAAGTTGATGAAAGAATCAGTAACTGAGAGGAAAAATTTAAATCATGGAGAACAGATTTACCAAATCAAGATGCTTTAAAAGAACCAAACAATTATTTTGGAAATGGAAAGATACAGTCACTTATATTAAAAACACAGAAGAAGGAATCAACAGACAAGACCAAGAAGAAAAACAAATCTCAGGGATGGAAGACGGTGTCCAGGCAATGATATATACAAGCGTATATAAATAAAAGGAAAAATCAATGAATATGACCAAAACTTTCAGTAAGACTGGAATATACTCAAGAAATCAAAGAAGAATTTATGGCAGAGAAGAGGCTGAGGTAAAATCAAATGGCTTACACAACATATTCTGTTAAATTATAGCAAAGAATTTCATGAACAAAGAAATAAACATCCAAACACAAGAAGTGTGTGGAGCCCCAAATATATACAAATAAAGGAGAAATTCTGCATGGTATAATCAAGATGTCAAATATACAAAGCTAAGGAATAGTATTAAATGCTATAAAGAAAAAAAACACAAAGTAGTATATGGAGGCAGAAACCCCAGAATAAAATCTGACTTGTTATCAGCAACCCTGAAAGCCAGGAGAACTGAATTCTAAATTACCAGCTGGAATGATATGTCACAAACATTGAAAGGAAACTATTGTCAATCAAGATTGCTATACTCAAAAAAAGAGAGAGAGGAAAAAAGATTGTTATACTCAACAAAATTATCTATTAAATAGATGGAGAAATATTTTTTAAGACAGTCACAGATTAAGGCAATTCATGTCCACTAAACCAGCACTGCAGAAAATTCTTAAAGGGGGCTGGAGAGATGGCTCAGTGGTTAAGACCTGCTCTTCCAAAGGTCCTGAGTTCAATTCCTGGCAACCACATGGCGGCTCACAACCATCTGGAATAGGGTCTGGTGCCCTCTTCTGGCCTGCAGATATACACACAGACAAATATTGTATACATAATAAATAAATAAATAAATATTTTAAAAAAAGTCAAAACTTCTAAAAAAAATCAACAACAACAAAAAGAAAATTCTTAAAGGAATACCGTGCACAGTTTAAAAAGAAAGAAAGCTTCACACGTGAGAACACAGAAAACAATGTATTTCATGAAAACAATAGATGAACAGAACAGAACTGGGGTCTCAGCCATGTCTAACACATTAAGCAAGCAAATATCTATACTACCAGAGAGAAAGATCAAAACTGCCAATAACCAGAACAACAATGACAAACAAGTCAGAAATAATAGGAAACAAACTCTTTTTTGGCCTTTTGTTTGTTTGTTTGTTTGTTTGTTTGTCTTTCAAGACAGGGTTTCTCTATGTATAACATTCCTGGCTGTCCTGAAACTCTCTCTCTAGACCAGGCTGGCCTCAAACTCACAGAGATCCACCCGCCCTTCTGAGTGCTGGGATTAAAGGAGTGTACCACCACCCAACTAACAAGATTCTTTTCTATTACAATGGTCTTAACTCATTGGTTAAAAGACAGAGACTGACAGGATCAAAAAAGAAGAATCAACTATCTACTAACTCTAAGAATCTCATATAACAAGGAAAGGCTGAAAGTCAAAGGCTAGATACTAAATTAGAAGCTGTAAATAAATTGATATAGCAATTCTCGTATCCGATAAAGTAGATATCAAACCAAAACTAATCAGGAGAGATAAAGAAGACCATAATGTGATAATAAAAGTAACAGGGAATTAGAAGAACATAATTTAAAAAATCATGGGAACCCAAATTTCATAAAATAAACATTAAAAGGCATAACACATACAGCTAGGTTCTAATTCAACAGCAGTGGGAGAGTTCAATAGCCCACTCTTATGCCTAGGGAGTTCTTCCTAATTAAAAACCTGCAAAGACACTTCAGAGCGAAATTATACCACAGATCAAATGAACAGATACCTACAGACTCTTCCACCCAACAGATAAAGTACATTCTTCTCACTGCCACATGGGGCCTTATCTAAAATTGGCCACATTATAGGCAGAAAAGCAATATTTAACAAATTAAAATCAGAAATAATTTCCTGTATCTTATCAGACAACAGTGGAATAAAACTAGGAATCAACAGAAAATCTAGTCTCAGAAAATACACAGATACTTGACAGCTAAACAATATATTTGTGTCATCGAATAAATGAGAGATTAAAATTTCTAGAATCAAATGAAAAAAAATAGAACATACTAGAATGTATGGGATTCCATCTGTTTGTCCTAAGAGTAAAATTTATAGCTATACATGCTCACATTAAAAAAAAAATCAGAGAGCTTGCAAGATGACTCAATGTATAAAGACATTTTCTGTCAAGTCCAGGGAACTTAGTTCAATCACTGCAACTTGTGATGAAGGAGAGAACTGATTGTTGCAAGTTGTGCCCTCACTTTCACGTGTGCATACACACACTAAATAAAAAAATGTAATATTTTGTTAGAAAATCAGTGATCTTGAATAAAGAACCCAAATACAGCAGCTATCAAGAAATAATAAAAATGAGGGTAGAAATTAATTAAATAGACTCTAAAAAAATATACAGGGGATGGAGAGATGGCTCCGTGGTAAAGATGTTGTTCTCACAGAATACCTGGACTGAGTTCCCAGCACCCACATGAGAGCTAACTCCAGGTTCAGTTTCACACGACCCAACACCACAGTCTAGCCTCCATTGGCACTGTATACGTGTGGTTCACAGGCATAGATGCAGGCAAAGCACCCATACACATAAAGTCAAAACAATTAACCTTTAAAAATACATAGGATTATCAGACTGAAAGTTTCTTCTTTAAAAGGATTCACAGGGGCTGGAAAAATGGCTTGTTGAGTAATAGCTCTTGCTGTGAAAGCCTGACTCGAGTTTGATCCCCAGAGCCCACCGTGGAAGGAGAGAAGTGACTCTTAAAGGTTGTCCTCCATATGCATGCTTTGTCATGCTCGTGCACATGTGTGTGAACAAAAATAAAATTCAAAGAAAGGTATATTTTTCAAAAATTAAAAAGGAGCTCATGGTTAGGAGACTTTGGCTATTTGAAGAGACTTCGGATATTTTGGAGAGGGTTTGGATATTTTAAAAGACCTTGAATATTTTAAGAGATTTTTAAAATTAAGTGTGTTTTATATTGTGATGTTAACATTAATATGAGATCTTGGGGATGAGCAAGAAAGGAAAGGTTATGGTTTAACAATGATGCGTTTGTCAAGTTGAAAAGGGGTTAATTGCCCTAACTAGTTTTATGTCAACTTGGCCCAAGCTGGAGTCATTAACTGAAGGAACCTCAGTTAAGAAAATGTTCCTACCACATTGGCCTCTGGGCAAACCTGTGGTGCTTTTCTTGATTGATTATTCATGTGAGAGGTCCCGGATCACTGTGGGCAGTGCCATCCCCCTGGGCTGGTGGTCCTGAGTTCTATAAGAAAGCAGGCTGAATAACCCATGAGGAACAAGCCAGTAACAGTACTCTTCCGTGGCTTCTGCATCAGCTCCTGCTTCCAGATTCCTGCCTTGAGTTCCTGCCCTGATTTCCCTCATTGATGGAGTATGACTTGAGATTTATAAGATGAACTGAACCCTCTCCTCCCAAGCTGGTTTTGGTCACAGTGTCTTATCAAACACAGCAATGGAAACCCTAAGATCCCAAACCATGGCTCTGGAGTCAGGCCTGTGGGTGCCAAATGACAGTGGACAGAGGCAAGGACAGGAGAGAAAAAAGCCAGTCAAAGATGGTTCTTGATAAAAGTGGGTTCGAAGGCCACAGATCTGGAACTAGGCCTTTGCCTGTGGAGATAGCTACAGCAGGGGGAGGAATAAGTTGGGGGGGGGGGTTGAGGAAAGGGATGATGGGAAAAGGAGGAAGGGACTTATCTAGGCAGTGTCTTAGGAACAGAGTTAGTTCGCGACCTTAGTCCCGAATTAGGCTTGTGGTTTGCAGATGAAGAGGAAGGGAGGAAGGGCTGGCAAAGGGGATTTACTTATAAAAAGTGTTCAAGGCCACAGGTCAGGAACTAGGTTTGGAGTGCAGTGGGTTTGGGGGAAGAAAGGGTGGGGCTTTTTGTTGTTGTTTTTGAGACAGGGTTTCACTGTAGCTCTGGCTCTCCTGGAACTGACCATGTAGACCAGGCTGGCCTTGAACTCCCAGAGATCTGCCTGCCTCTGCCTCCCGAGTGCTGGGATTATTGCTTTTTCCCTACCTAATCTTGTGCTCTTTTGGGTTTCTATATATTTTATTCCTGTTGTCATTTTGACTTCCAATGTATACATTGTATGAAAAAGACACTGTCATGTTGTTTCTTTTTCTGAAAATCTGATGTTCAACATCCAGTCTAGGACAGAAGACAAAATAGAGCGATTCAAGAAAGCAGTTGAGTACTATTCAGTCACAACCAAAATCTCTTCACTGCCAGTGGGTCCTTCCTTTCTAGGTAAGGCTTCCAGCTGCTGTTCAATTGAGTTTATCCCTTAGGGCCAAGAGTGGAATCCCTTGTTTCTGCCTGTGTCCTGCCTTTTCACATTTATAGGTGGGGGGATAATTTCCTTAGCTTGGGCTTCTTCTACTACTAACCCTCATTGTGACCTGGTATATGTAAAAATAGCCCTGTCTTTGTCAGCAAGCTCAGTTTTGAATTTGACTTCTGTTGCTTAGTAGCTGAGTGATCTCGTCATTTCACTTTTGTATGAAACATGGCTCCCAATACCTATTACATAGGGTTGTTACTGTATTAAATACTTTATATAGGATCCCCGGCCTGGGCGTGCCCCGTATCCATTCCGCCAGTATCACAGCCGCCAGATGCTATCTCATCACGGAACCTTCATGCCGCTTACTTTCTTGATGGAAAGGCTAGGATTAATTGCTGCCACTGTAAATTTGGCATGTTTATCAAAGTGAACTGTGAACTCAGTTCAAAGGAATTAATATTGAACATGCCATCCAAAAAATAGCTTATGGACACACCTGTACATAATCTCAGGCTCAAGGGCCCAGCTTAGATATCTTGAGGATGTTAAGACTGTGTAAGGAAATCCCACAAGAACAAAAAAGACAGATTCGTGGAATAGCCCATAGTAGCTGGTCAATTAATTATAACTTTTTGTGGTGCTAGGGATCTAACCTGTGGCTCCGTGCATGCAAGGCAAGTGCCCTACCGCTGTTCCACATCCTCAGATCATAAAGTATAACTTTATAACAGGTTTTTTATGCAGTGATGGTTTAACGGGATGTACTAAATATGGCAAAATGTTTAGGATTGGCTGAAGCATAGAACTTTTCTTGGCTTCAGGCTTTCGAAATAATCGGCTTGGAAATCCTCCTCTTCCACGGAATCAAATGGGCCCTATTTCTACTGGAAAGCCAGTGGTAAGTCTTGTTTGTTACATGTTCATTAAGGGGATTAAGATCACTTGCTTACCTTAGACTTAAGCTCACTCTAAATTGAGCTGTTAGGCTGATTCAGTGTTAATTAGACCATGCATGCTGTATACTTATATCATTTTGTACCTTGAGGCCAGAAGACTACAGAAAGATAGCTTCCAAATTAGTAATCACTAAGACATTAGATACATAGGTTAGATAATGTCACAAAATATTTTTTTTTATTTTTACTTAAAAATTTCCACCTCCTCCCCTTTCCCTCCCCCTCCCTCTCCAATCCAAAGAGCAGTAAGGGTTCCCTGCCCTGTGGGAAGTCCAAGGTCCTCCCCCCTCCATCCAGGTCTAGGAAGGTGAGCATCCAAACAGACTAGGCTCCCACAAAGCCAGTTCATGCCGTAGAATCAAAACCCCATGCCATTGTCCTTGGCTTCTCATCAGTCCTCAATGTTCGCCATGTTCAGAGAGTTCAGTTTGATCACATGCTCCATCAGTCCCAGAGATCTAGTTTGGTTGATTTTCCTGACTCTGATAAATTCTATTCAGATACCACTATCAAAATTATTTCTAAATATTTTTAGTAGGTATTCGTACTTCAACAGTTCCTACTATTGCTATCATCTACTCTGCTGCAGCTTCTGAGGGAACCATCCTGCGTCCTGGTAAAATGTTAAATATCTTTTCCATCTGTTTTATCCTTTAGTTTTCTCGCCAGGTGCCCCAGAAAGTGAAATATCCTCCACCATTTCCAGTGGGACCCAACTCGCCTCTTCTCTTCCCTCATGGTGTGGGGGAACCCCACGCTTTTCCTGAAGATCCCATGCTACAGGACAGTTCCTTTAACAACTGGGCTGTTTCTTATGACTCTTCAGCACCCCAGTTTCCTAACTGCCTGCCTTCCAAAACTTCACCTCCTTTGGGACCAGATTCTTCACACTCCTCTTCCTCTGATGCTGATGAGGCAAATGGAGCCGGTTCTGAGTAAGTATCTGTGTAAACAACCAGAAGAAAATATTTCAGAAAAAATTCAGAGAAGTGGATGTTCTTGGCTTCCTTTCATTAGTCTGCCCTTTGGCCTTCTGCAGGTGATAAGTTTTAAATATCTAGGTCATATAGAAAAGGCAGTTGCTTAGGAAATCCTAACGTGAATGTGCTACATAGCATGTCTGTCGTTTTTCAGTTTGTGAGGAACATAGATTGAAGGATAAAGAATTTATATAGTTGAAGTATTGGAATAGTTCCTTAGTGATGAAGATAGGTCTCATATACTGGGTGATTGTTTTTAGAGTATTCCTCTAAAGACATTCAGAGCTACTTTGAGATCATAATTTTTTTAAAATATTTATTTATTTTATTATGTATGCAATACTCTGTGTCTATGCCTGCAGGCCAGAAGAGGGCACCAGACCCCATTACAGATGGTTGTGAGCCACCATGTGGTTGCTGGGAATTGAACTCAGGACCTTTGGTAGAGCAGGCAATGCTCTTAACCTCTGAGCCATCTCTCCAGCCCTGAGATCATAATTTTAATTATTTTCTTAGACTATGGGTAGACTCTAGACAGGATCCAGAGTGACTTCCATGACTTTGGAGTCTTTGGTCTATGTCAGGTGAAGGAGACCAGGGGACAGTGATGACCGCTGAGAGGAAGATGTCAATGTCCAGTCCTAATCCAGTATCTTGAGGGTTTCTCGGAGTCCTTGGGATCAAGCTAGATGTCTTGAGTGGAAATATTTTTATCAACCTCCTTTTCTGTCTTCTGCTGTTTATGAATTTTTTAGTCACATCCCAGAAGCACTTCCACAACAGCCTGGATGGGAAGATTCCAGTGGTGACAGAGGGTCTTGGGTACAGCCTGCTGATGCTGGAGTTTCAGAACCTAGCATAAGTGATAGCGAACCTCACATCCCGTCTCTGTTATCTATGTCTACAAGGAACCACATGGACATCACCATTCCACCTTTACCTCCAGTAGCTCCAGAAGTCTTGAGAGTTGCTGAACACAGACACCGAAGGGGTCTTATGTATCCGTACATTTACCATGTCCTTACTAAGGTGAGAGAACGCACCCATATCCACCTCCCAGATACTGCTCGACAGGATCTCATAGTTACTGAGTTACAAAAGCAGCAGAGAAAGGTCGGAGAATTGGTATTTTTATGCAGGGAGAACAATGCTAAGGATCGAACCTAGCGTCTCACACCTGCGAGACAGGCACTCTAGCAGTTATTTCCCTAGCCCTCTGGTCATTGTATCTCAAGAGGGAAAAGGAAAACTGTGTATGTCTGTTTCAAGGGCCTCAGAAAAGGTTAGATTAGTAGGAATTGTGACTAAGCAGTAAAACAAATAAAGGACTCCAAGAGAGAAGTTTAAATTGTAAGATTTGTGGATGGAAGGGGGCAGAAGAGAGGTGGGAGGAGAGAATCGGAAGAAGGAAGGAGGGGAAACTGTGGTCAGTGTGTAAAATAAGTGAAAAAAAATCATTAAAAAATAATGCCTTGTGGTGGTGGCGAGAGCCTTTAATCCCATCACCTGGGAGGCAGAGGCAGGCTGATCTCTGTGAGTTCAAGGCCAGCCTGGTCTACAAGAGCTAGTTCCAGGACAGCCAAAGCTACATAGAGAAACCCAGTATTGAAAAAAATCAATATAATAATAATAATGGAAACGATTTTGAAATAAGTAATGCACTAAGTTAATAGACTGTGGTTCTGAAGGCACCATCTAAGAAGAGATCTTGTTCTTTTGTCCATTATCCCTGCCTCTATTTCTGCATACCTGTTGTTCTTCTCTGGTCTTAACACACAAATTACCCACAGAATGTCTAAACCCGCCATGGTGGCACAAGCTCTTAATACCAGCAATCTGGAGGTAAAGGCAGATGAAGCTCTGAGTTCCAGGTCAAGTTGGTCTACATAGCAAGTCCCAGTCCATCAATAGTTACACAGTGAGACTCTGTCTCAAAAAAACCAAACCAAGCAAACAAAATGTCTAGGGTCGATTCTCTCTGATAGTCAATATAGTCCATCAAATATGAGACTTTACAAATGGAATTTAGCTTATGAGGTGGCTGTACTCAGCTGGGATTCTTACAGCTTCCTTCTAATTGGTAAAGCTCTCTGAATACAAATAGTAAATTTACTGTCTTGACTCCAGAGACTGCAGTTCATTATTTGTTATTTTCAGCTCTGCTATAAACCTTGAAGAATTCATTTTCTTCTTTTTCCTCAACTATTTTCTTATTAGGGTGAGATTAAAATCCCCGTATGTATTGAGGATGAATGTAACATGGAGCTGCCTCCAGCTGCTCTCCTGTTCCGGTCAGCTCGCCAATATGTATATGGAGTTCTCTTTAGCCTAGCAGAGACACAGCGGAAAATGGAACGTCTGGCCATACGGCGGCGGTTACCGCTGGAAGGTAGGTATGATTCTAGCTGCAACAGATCTCTCTATGCTGGGCACAGGATGAGGTGGGGGAGCCTATGTAAGTACACCATACTTTGGACTATAAAGCCGTCTTTAAGAAGATGCATCATTTTCCAGATCATGCATTGAAATAAGAAATGCATGGAGTGAACCCCCATTCTGAAATCATGGAACATTCAGAGTATGTATTCCTTTTAAGAGCAATGGTGGGCTTTGAGAATGTAGGACTTTATCTTACAATCTCTCTTCTTCAGCAAGGATTTTGTTTTAGAATATTATCTGTGGATAGTTGAAATTTTTATGTTGTTGTTTTAAATAAGAAATGAGTTCGTTAAATTAGTATATCCAAAAGAATAACTTAGGTTTCTGCTTCCACGAAGGTAAATTAAATTAGATCTACTTCCCTTATTCTTCTTGCTAAGTACAACTAGAATTCTAGGACATTGTATGTAGGGAAAAAACAAAACCACAGCATACTCCGGAAAGTAGAGATTGTTGATGGCCTTGGGACCCAAGGTAGGCTAGAGTAGTAAGTTCTCTGGGTTTCCTTTTAGTCTCACATGTCACAGACTGGATGTAGAACAATTTGACAGGGAATCTAGAAGGCTCAACCCCTGCAAACTGATCCCCTCTGCCTGGAAGCCTGCAAAGGGCCAACCTAGTAACACAGAAATGTTTAGGTAAAAACTGCTTTATTCAAGCCAAGCACCACCAAAGAAACTATGTTTCATCCTCAGCTTTACCAGCAAAGACCTTACAAATATCTTCCATCACCAGGCTGCGGTTAAGTATGCTGCTTTACCCAATAGCACTGAGGAGGTGGCGAGCAAGGCCAAATGAGGACTCAAAACATACTCAAAAACTCACCTGTCAGCAACGACTGACCAGCTACAGTAGTCAGAAAATGTATGGTAAAATGCAAGATTTGAATAAAATTCAGAACCTTTTAACTTAAAACTCACATATTTGGACTTAAACTGAAAATTCCTTATCATACCAAGAATTAGGAAAGTTTCAAATTTAGATCTCAGACAGCTTAGAAAGAAAATGATGATAATTAGAAAAGAATTGTAACCGCCCAGTGGGTCAGTTAGTCTAGGGGTTGTAACCCGCCTGGCAGGTCAGTTATTCCAGAGTCACAGAGAGGCGCTATCTGAAAAGACATGGGCAGGAGAGAGGAAGGAGGCCAAGCAAGATCTGTTGTCAAAGCCTCCATTTATTAGCGTCATGGTTGCGGCTTATATAGCCCCTGGATGAGGAATTTGGGTTGGGATGGGGGCAGGGGCATGGGTGATGGTCACATTGGTCAGGAGGTCACGAGTCGACGCACCTAGTTCTCTGTGCAAGCAGAATCGTTCCTTTTGTGATTCCAACCACAAACAGTTCTCTAGATAGTTGGAATGTGGGGCGGTTCCGCTAACAGAAAGCTCTCAAGATAGTTGGGTGTGGAGTGGGCTCTGCCAACAAACAGTTCTCAATACAGTTGGGGTGTGGGGCTCTCCGCAAACACCCCCAGGACAATGGTCCCTGCTATAATCTTTGGGAAAATGGCTCCTGACAAAGAATTTCAAAACAACTCATAAAAATGTTTTTAATAAATAATTGCAGACATACTCAAAACAAATTGAGCATAGAGAGATAGTGACAAAATGTACTTGTGCAAATTCCTGGAACCCTCAGTGAAAAGAAAGAACAACTCCTGAAAGTTGTCCTCTGACTTTCACATACATCCCATGGCATGCATATACCACTCACATGCGCGCACACACACACACACACACACACACACACACACAAGAATATTTAAAGGATCAAACATAGCTGGGCTGTGGTGGCGCATGCCTTTAATCCCAGCACTCAGGAGGCAGAGACAGGCAGATCTCTGAGTTTGAGTCCAGCCTGGTCTACAAGAGCTAGTAGTTCTAGGACAGGCTTCAAAGCTACAGAGAAACCCTGTCTCAAAAAACCAGAATAAATAGATAGATAGATAGATAGATAGATAGATAGATAGATAGATACATAGATAGATAGATAGATAGATAGATAGATAGATGATAGATAGATGATCAAATGTAAATTAAGAACTAAAAAAATACAATAGCATATAAGCCTTGCCAGTTGTGATGGTTTGCACCTTTCATCCCAGGACTGTAGTGGTGGAGACAGAAGAATCAGGAATTCAGGATCATCCTCTAGGTTATATAGTAAATTTGAGCGATCCTAAGCTACATGAGAACACTTTTCCATGAACAAACAAACAACAAAACAAAACTGCTCAAGAATAGTTCAGTAGTGGAGCAGTAAGGAGAGTCAGATAACCTGAAGATAGAAAAATACAAGTTATGCAGTTAGGATAATAGAAAATGATCTGAAAAAATCAAGACCTGTAGGACTACAACAAAAGATCTAATATTTGTATAATCAGACTCAGAGAAAATTAGAATGACATTTGTACAAAAAAATCCCATAATAAAGTCAATTGCTTTATGTGATAATTTCCAAGGAAAGACTAATTATAGATAACAAGTGATCTTTGATGAGAAGCCTTAGAATTCAGAAGGAAATATTCAAACATTTCTAGTACTGAAGAAGAGAATAAGCAGCTATCTTCATTACTTTTCTGTGGCTGTGATAAAACACCATGACCAAGGTAACTTCTAAACAAATGGTTTAATAGGAGTTAGAGTTTTATGATGGTGATGGTTGAGCAAAGGCATGGTGGCAGGAGCAAAGAAGAGTTTACATCTTTATCCACAGATAAAAGGCAGAGTGAGATCCCACCAGAATGGTAAGTCTTTTGAAACCTCAAAGCCCACCCCCAGGGCCACACCTTCTCCATCGAGGCCACACCTCCTAATTCTTCCCAAGCTACTAACTCCCCAGGTTCCGCTAACTAGGGACCAAGCATTCAAATATATGAGCCCTCATTCTCATTCAAACTACCACAGCAACACAGTTATTTATCAAATAAGATCCTTTAGTAGTGAAGAACTAGGTTAATTTTTCTCACAAGCAGAATGGTAAAAGAATGAGCCTTGGAACATCAGAAAAGAAGAAAAAGAGTCAAAATAATTGATATGTATAACAGACAGCCTTGGAGTTTCTAAGCTGTGTTGCACTGGAACAACAATTCTAGCACTGTTTCAATGTGTGTACAGAAGCTCTTTAGGGACACAGGTGTGGCTCAGCAGCTAAAGTCCTGCTGCCAATGACAACCTGAGTTTGATTCCCAGAACCCACGTGGTGGAAGAAGAAAAACACTTCCATGTGTAGGCTATAGCATGAATATACCCCCCCAAACACACACTAAAACAAGTAAAAAAATTGAAGAGAATATATTTTAGACAATTATAGCTGGTGGAGGACAAAGCAACTTTTCTTCATTTGTACTGGTAAAATACCAATATCTACAAGTATGATTTATTTATTTCCTTATTTAGTCTTAGTGCTAATGAGTCAACCCAGGGCCTCATGGATGCCAAGCATGCACCCTACCACAGAGCTACATCCCTGTTTTCTCTTTGTACATATTTCTAACAGATATGATCTATATTAAATTATATAGATAATGCAGCTGGGGATGTTGCTCCATGGTTGACCGTGTGCCTAGTATGTCTGATGTTGTAGGTTCAACTTCTAGCACCTGTCCAAGAAGAAGAAGATGGACAGAGATAGCCAGGAATGATGGTGCACACCTTTAATTCCAGCATTTGCGAGGCAGAGACAGGTGGATCTCTGAGTTCGAGGACAGCTTGGTCTACATAGTAAGACCTCATCTCAAAACAAACAAACAAAGAAGATATACAGAAGTAACACTCTAAACAACTATTATAGATAAATCAAAATAGGATTGTACAATTAATCCAGGTAATTCATGGGAAGGGAATAACCATAAAGCAGAGCAGAGACAAACAAAACAGACAGTAGCAGAACTAAAATGATAGATTTACTCTCTAATATATAATGATGCCATTATTGTGAGCACATCCTAGAGCAGTATGTGCTGTAGACTGAATGTTTCTGTTTTCACAGCCTATCACATTCATGTGTTGAAATCCTAACCCATCAATATGTTAGTTATAAGACAACAGTCATGAATAGGCCTTGCGTCTTTTTTAAAGGAACCCTGGAGAGCTGCCTTTCTTTCTGCCATGTGGAAATATAGGAAGATAGCTATCTGTAAACTAGAAAGTAGGCCCTCACCAGATGCATGGAAACACTTGGGTCTAAGACTTTCGTGCTTCTAGAACTTTGCGAAATAGATACAGCTCTTTATAAGCCATCTAAGCTAGTCTATGACTTTTTGAGACAGGATCTCACTGTGCAGCTCTGGCTGACCTGGAACTCACTTTGTAGACCAGAATGGACTTGAACTCACAGAGATCCACCTGTCTCTGCTTCCATGTGCTGGGATTAAAGGTGTACAGTACTACCTCTGCCTGTGGTGCTATTTTTTCATAGCAACTCAAACAGATTAAGACGGTATAGATATGAAAAATTCTTAGAATTAGCCTATATCATGTGTATAGAGAGTTCAAGGCCAGCCCGAGCCTACATAGCATGCTGTCTTAGAAAAACAAAGAGACAAAAATATTAGTAGAACTCAACTATATATACATATATATATACATTCATTGACTAAATCATATATCAATATATATTGATACATGTTTCTATCAGTGGATACAGAGAAAGCATTGGACAGAATGTGACATGCATTCATGATTAAAAACTCTCAATCATGTTGAGACCGAAAGGAAATGCCTCATTTAGGTTATGAAGTGGATGCTGCACATCTCCAATAACTGCGATCCTAGAGCAGGAATCTGAGATGTACTAGAAGCCATGATTTTATGCTCTGCTTTCTTTCACCCTGGTAAATCTAATTGATGTTGGCTTTGAAGGACTTGGGGATTTAGGTTTTGGAGACAATCTCTGTTGCCCAGGCTGGCCCCCAATGTCTGCTAATCCCCCAAAGTTTCTAAAATTTGAGAGATTTGGTTTTGGTTTTGAGAATTTAAAATCTTTGGAAATATCCAGCAATCTTTTGTGAAACCATGTATTCACACCATTCTACCTTAGATAGGTTTCTTTGTCTGTTCTGCTACATCTGCTTAAAAATGAGTTTCAAAGGATTTCAAAAACTGTGTGGCATGGGATTTTGATTTTTCTTTTGCAAAGTAAACACTATGCTCTACAAAAAAATGTTGTCATGACAGTTCACTTCCTGGATTTTCATGAGAATTAATGTGATAATTAGGTATAAGTTATATATATATATATATGTGTGTGTGTGTGTACACACACATATACATATATATCAACTGTCTAACAAATACATATGGCTCCTAGTATTTATAGTGCTAACAATAACAATTACAGTGACAAAAATGTAAAGCTATTGAAGTGCAATAGATCCTGCCAGCTGTGGCCAGCTACAGTAATGTCCAGATTCTCTAGAGCCTGTTTTTCCTTACTTTCCATTTTTCAGTTCCTCCTGTGATTCTTAAGGAATGGTCTGCCTATAAAGGGAAATCACCTCAAACCCCTGAGCTGGTGTCGGCACTCACATTTCGGGAATGGACTTGCCCAAACCTCAAGAAGCTCTGGTTAGGCAAAGCAGTTGAGGACAAGAACAGGAGGATGCGGGCTTTCCTGGCCTGTATGAAGTCAGACACGCCCAGTATGCTCAATCCAGCCAATGTTCCCACACACCTGCTGCTCATGTGTTGTGTACTCCGGTAAGACATCTTCTTTATGTGATTGTTTTTATAGCATTTTGACATGAAGAGATTTTTGTTTTATGCTTGACTTAGCCTTCAGAAACCTTAAGAATGGATATTATATGGATATGGATAGTCTCAGTTTATGATCTCATGTCACCATTAGTACATGCATGACTTCCTTTTATTTCATTTTTTGTAGATTCATTTCTTTTTATTTTATGTGGACGAGTGTTTGCCCGCAGCTATGCTTGTACACCATGTCCATGCAGTGCCCCCAGAGGCTAGGAGAGGCTTTGCATCCCCCAGAACAGGAGTGACAGATACTGTGATGGGTGCTGGGAGTCAAACCCCAGGTCCTCTGGAAAAGCAGCAATTGCTCCTAAATCACCTAACCATCTCTCCAGCCCGATTTGTTGGTTTTACTTTAGTTTTTGTTGCCAAGAGTCCTCATTCCTTGTTTAATTTTTTGATTAGCTAACTTATTACCAAGATTCCTTCTTTTTCATGCATCCTTTGCTGTGGCTGATCTTCTCCCCCACCCCTCCTCTCTTGCATCTCTTTTCTTCCTCCCTAGTTAACCCTCCTCTATATCCCCTTTGCCATTTTCATTTCACATGTATTGTACTAACTTCTTCCACTTAGAGCCCTTTTCTCCCTTCTAGGACCCACTTCCACCTAAATACACACATATAAAAAAATTACCAGGTAATATAGTATATTAGAGAAAATGTGGTATTTCTCTTTCCAACTTTAGGATACTTTACACATCATTCTGTTTCTTGCATTTTTTTCTTTCTTTGAATCTTAATTTTTATATTGGTTTATTCTAATAGTGTCTTAGTTAAGGTTACTGTTGTTGTGATGAAAACCAAGACTAAAGCACCTACCTTGGGGAGGAAGGGGTTTATCTGGTTATACTTCCATGTTGAAGGAAGTCAGGACAAGAACTCAAACAGATGAGATCCTGGAGGCAGGAGCAGATGCAGAGGCCATGCAGGGGCACTGCTTACTGGCTTGCTTCCCTTGACTTATTCAGCCTGCTTTCTTATAGAACCCATGACTACAAGGCCAGGGATGGCTCCACCCACCATGGACTGGGCCCACCCCCATTGGTCACTAATTGAGAAAATGCCTTACAATTGGATCTCGTGGAAGCATTTCCTCAACTGAGGCTTCTTCCTCTCTGATGACTCTAGCTTGTGTCAAGTTGACATAAAACCAGCCAGTCCAAGTAGACTCTTGTGTTACTAAGCTTGTCTGAACTCCTGTGCTCAAGCCATCCTCTCTACTCAGCCTCCTGGGGGATTGGACTATAAACATAGATCGTCATGCCTATATCCATTCAGTGTTATTTTTTTAATCTGCCCACATTCATGTATGCGTAAATATTAATACTATTTTCACAGTATTTTACTGATTAACTAATGGATGATTCTTCAAAGTTCTTTGGGAGTGCATTCCATGAGTTCAAATACCTTTGAAAAATTGTATTTTTTGATTTTGTGCATACAGGCATTTGCTTGCATGTATGTCTGCCCACCACATGCATGCAGTTCCCACAGAGGTCAGAAGAAGCTGTCAGAGTCTTGAGAATGGAGTTAGAGATGATTGTGAGCCGCCATGTGGGTAATGGGGAATGAAATCATTGAGCTCTCTGTATAACTCCCAGGAAACACTTTCATGAGAGGTTTATTATAGTGTTCCTTTATCAGTATATCTGGAGGATCCAGAATAGGACTTCTGGATCCTATAAAGCAGTGGTTCTCAGCTTTCCTAATGCTGTGACCCTTTCGTGCCATTTCTCATGTTGTGGTGATCCCAATCATAAAATGATTTTAGTTGCTACTTCACAACTGTAATTTTGCTACTATTATGAATTGTGATGTAAATATTTTTGGAGATAGAGATTTGTCCAAATGATCCTGACCCACAGGTCGAGAACCACTACTATAAAATGTACCTGTAAAGTTTTCACTAAATATTGCCAAATTGCTGTAGATTGTAGCTATACTAATTCACTACTTAGAATAACACCTAAGTTTTCCTATTTCTTCGTATTTCCAGTAATAATTGTCATATAATCAAAATTCATCAGATTTCATGCACTATCTTGTCATTTGTTTTTCACCGATGAAGATGACCTTTGATTTTGTTTTTCCTTTGATGCCAAAGATTAAACGCAAAGCAGTTGTTCTAACCCTTAAACTACACAGTATGCCTTTTTTTCTGTTTTTGTGCCTATTAGCAATTTGAGGTTCCTGGTGTTTTTAACTGTCAACTTTTTAATTACTTAATTCTCTATCTATTGGTGTTTTGACTACATGCTTGTGTTGTGTACCACATGCATGTCTGGTGCCTTTGGAGGCCAAAGAAGGCATTGGATCCCCTGGAACTGGAGTGGCAGATGGTTGCGAGCTGTCATACTGGTGCTAGGAATTGAAATTCAGTCCACTAGAAGAGCAGCCAGTGCTCTTAACTGCTGAGTCATCACTCCAGCCCCTTATAAAAACTTTTTGCTTTGTCAGGTGTGGTGGGGCACACCTTTAGTCCCAGCACTTTGAAGGCAGAGGCAGGTGAATCCCTGAGTTCAAGGCCAGCCTGGTCTATATAGTGAGTGAGCTTCAAGACAGCTAGGACTACATAGAGAGACCCTGTCTAAAAACAAACAACCAAAACTTTAATATAAGATTCTAGCATTTATTTCTATTTTATGTGTATGTGTGTTTGCCTGAATGTATGCATTGTTCCATGTGTGTGAAGATGCTCATGGAAGCCAGAGGGTATCAGATCCCCTGGAATTTATAGGTGGTTGTGAGCCACCTGGTATGGATGCTGGGGACTGAACCCAGGTCCTCTGCAAGAACAGCACGTGCTCTTAATTGCTGAGCCATCTCTCTAGCACCCACTTGAGCTTTCTTCTCTGGAATGTTCACATCTATTTATTTTGCAAACTCTGTTAGATTACTTTTCTTTTTTTTTGCTGATTGCACAGGTGCCTTGTGAGATACATAGCAGAAATATTTTATATATTTGTATTCTTATGCATGTGTCTTTATTTCAAATATCTCTTCCAGTCACAATTTGTTCTAATTTTATATACAGTATCCTTTATCAAATAGAATTAGTTCATTTTTCTAAACTTTTCATTATTATAATTTTCTATATACAGAAAAATTAGAATAATGTACATCAATATGACCACTACCTGTAATCTATTAATAATATCTTAGTATAGATATTTTATCCATAAGCTATTCACCTGTTCATCTCTAGTTTTTATTTATCCTTTTTGATAGATTACTAAGTAAAGTGTAGATATTAATATGTTTTTCTCCTTACTGAGAAGCACATATTTTGGTTTGTCAAACCCAGTAACTTCACATAGAGTTTGATATCTTATTTAATAAATTCTTCCCATCCCTGCATCATAAAGATATTTTTATGTAACACTTTCCAGGTAAAGTTTTTAATGTAGTGGATATTTATTTTAGGTTTTCAGAAAGAGGGATCTTAACTTTCTTTTCTTTACATACTAAGCTAGATTCTCATTTCTATATATTGAATGATAATTTCTTTCTGCATTTATTTGCTAGCCTAACTCAACCTCCTTTCTCTAGACACATGTGCACATGGAGTACAGACCCACATAGATAGACAGGCACACACCAGTCTATTCATTGATTCTGTTTTGTTCCATTGGCTAGGTCATCTTTCATCAATAGTACATTGGGTTAGTTATTAAGGGTTTATAATTTTTATAATTTTCTTTAATATTAGGTAAGATAAGTTACTCTGCATTTTTCTTTCAGTTTTATAGTTCTTAATTTTTAAAATATATATTATGTAATTAATTTAATTTGTATAAAATATTATTGCAGTTTAATTTGACATTGGATTGATTAATTTAGTGACATTGATATCTTTATAATGTTAAATGTTAGTATCCAAAGATCATAGTTTACCTCTCCTATTTATCCAGGTCTCTTCATGTCTCCATAGGATTAGTTTTTCTAGAGATATCTACAGTTTAATTCCTAAGTACTTGATATATTATTGTAATTAGGGATGGTATTTTTTTCTTTTTATTTATTTATCTATTTATTTGAAAAATTACCGCTTCCTCCCCGTTTCCCATTTTCCTCCCCCTCCTCCCACAAATCTCCTCCTCTCCCCACTCCCCTCCCCCTCTCCCCCTCCCCCCACTCCATTCCCCCTCCCTCTGGAAGAGCAGACGGCGCTCTTAACCACTGAGCCATCTCTCCAGCTCTGATTTTGTTAATTTGGATAGTCTCTTGCTTCCCTTTGGTTAGTTTGGATAAAGGTTTGTCTATTATGTTGATTTTTCTCGAAGAACTAACTTTTTGTCTCATTGTAGCTTTCTCCTTTTTATACAGTACAGGACCCAGCTCAGGGAATAGTGCCACCCATAGTGGGTAGTTCTTCCTGCCTCAATTTACCTAATTAAGATAATCTCTCCATCTTGATTCTAGATCTCAGCAAGTTGACAATTGAGATTAATTATCGCAGTAAACAAGTCAGAGAGTCTTACAGACAACCCTAGTAATAGCAATGACAAATGATACCACACTGTCGCAAACTCAATGGGAAAACTAGAAAGACTGCATTCCTTAAAAACTCAAATTAAGAGACAGTATCTGAAAGCCAAATTGCCTTGTATTAATCAGTACCCCAAAGTTTATTATATCCTCAAGAACAGGTAGTATTCTGTTTCCCACCATGAGCCTTTATTGCGGATGATGTTTCTAATCCTTATAATCGTTCCAAATAGCAGGTCTGACATATATTGACTCATAAATGCGGAAACCAGCCGAGACAGCAGCAACTAACAGTAATGATATAGCAAGACACAATATTTAGAGGGTTTAAAGCCCCATTTTTCTGACTGTTTCTTTAAGAGGATGAAAGAGTTCAGTGCAGTTTTGGACTAGTGAGATGGCTCATAAAAGTCCATGTGATCAAGCCTTACGAGTGGATCTTGTTCCCTGGAACCTACA